AATCAACATTTCGCTTCTATCTATAAAATTTATGTAATCATTCGAGTGGATGGTAGATTGTCTTTTACTTTTTAAGGTATCCTTGAACTTTTTTTTCATTTTTTGTATTCGTAATCTGTTAAAAATCTTACATTGGGCCTAAACAATTGTCTAGACAATTTATCTGTTTATTTTATTCATTATTTAACAGATAAAACAAGAACAATTTTAATTTTTTTACTCTTACTCTATTAATCATATGCCTGACATAACATGAATTCGATAAACAATGCTAAGAGTTTGATATAATGCAAGAAAACATTAAAAGAAAAGTTTTAAAATAAGGGATCATCATATTAAACAAATTTTTTAATTCGTTACGACAATATTTATTAAGGATAAATTTAGCAATGTTCATGAATATGTTAAAGTTAATTAGATTACTTTAGAATTGAGAAACAAAAAGAAGAAGAGATGCTTATAAATGCTCCATATAGAAGTAATGTCAACTCTATAGCTACACTAATATAGGATCGCATATTTAAAGAAAAATCATGTTGAAATTTATGATGTTATAAATTACAAGAAAACTTTATTTGACTACTTTGTGGAAGAAACTCTTAAACTAGAATATTTTTCTATATTTTTCATTGAAAACATTTTATTAAACGAAAAATTGTGTCTTCCACACATCTTATTGTGTCCTATTCCAATATAGCGGAATGACAAGCCTAGATTGAACAATTCCAAGCCTAGATTGAACAATGCCAAGCCTACAGATTAGAATACAAGCCTAGATATTGTGAAAAATCTAACGTGCCGACGGCCATGTTTGGTTAAAATTATTTGACTTATTATGGTTTCTTCCCCATATGTAAGACAATAGTGAAGAATCTACATGAATAAGGAAATAGGGAAATTAATTACTTTCGCGAATCCAAAGTTTCGAATATAATGTTGTCCTGATAGAAGAGTGTTAATGTAAAGAATTTCAAAATTTATATACGCCTAAATATATACTTATAAAGTCATTGTTAAAAAAACGAAATTCTTACTTCTTAACCAAAATGTTTTCTTAATTAAATCGCATAATAACAATCTTAAAATTCCGAAATATTCTATAATCCTTTCAGCATTTATTTACATTATACCCACACTCGAAAGAATATACCTACATACATATGTATATATATATTTAAATTGCATATCGAACTGTTATATTAACAAAATAATCAACAGTTGTGGTTATTTATGTAAATTTTTCAACTCGATTTTTTTATTTTCGAAAAATTAACACGTTAAATTCAATTTCATAAAAATAAAATTTTCAACTTCAGGCCTTGAATTTCTATTTTTTTGTACGACTATATTTTTTGTAAGCGTCTATATAGCTACCATGTACACAAAATACCATAAATGAAAAATGATTTTAAATTTTACTATGTCACAATTTCAATTGCTTGAAAAAATTTTATTTTTTATAATTTCTAATTTTATTTTCATATTATATTATGTACGTTGTATGAGCTTATTTAGTACGTGGTATGTATGACTATTATATAGACTATAGAGTATACACACGGTAGATATGAAAAACTCCACTGTATTTGTACGATACTAGACATACAAATTTTTTAAAAATTTTTCTATTTTTATTGTTTTTGTTATTTTTCTCAAGACATTTTCATTTATTTTCTTGTCAAGTTCAAAAAAATAAAGAACTCAATGTTAAATTGTTTTCCCTTTAGAATATTTAAAAGTAAATTCTTGTAAACAATTCTTGTACACAATATTTTACATAGAAAAATTACATAGAAGACTTCAAAATATAAATGCATATAAAAATTCCAACAAGCAACCGAAAAAAAAGGGAATAAAGGGAAGAAAGAGGTTTTCCAGAAATTAAAAATTGTTTAAAAACCGAGCACGTTTTGTTTTTAAAAAAGATAAAATTGTCCTTCGAATTTCTTCTCATCTTGAACTGAAGAAGTTGTTATAAAAAAAAATAAAGAAATTTTAGCAAAAAAAAAAGACAAATAATAATGAAAATGCAAAATCTGTAAAGGGATTTTGAATGATATTTAAGGGCTTTTAATAATATTGTGGGTTCAGAACTCCTCTAAATTTGATTAAATAAAATCAAATCGTTTGGCATAGAATAGCAAAAATTTTTTAGAACAAATTTATTTGTGCATAGCATCGTGTTTATTTGTTTGTGTTAATTTAATATTTTTCTACACATGAAATAATTTATGTAATTTGAAAAAAAAAACATAATTTGTGAGAAAATTTTACCAGTAGCAGTCGGAAAATATTATTCTTTTCAACTTCTGATAATTTAAGATTTTAGAGTTTTTAAAAGGAGCTTTAAAACAAAAGAAAAATCTTCAATTTACATTGTCTCAAATATTTTCACCTCAAAGTTTCTCTCACAATTAGATCTTGCTATAAGTACAAGTGACTGAATCTGAAGTCGATACCAGCTGCCATAATATTACCAAATTAAATCGTAATTTAAATGTATTTCAAAATTCGACAAAAATTTAAACTTTGTTCGTGTTTCTAATAAAGAAACGCTTGACGTATCTTTGGTTCTATTTACTATTTACATGATTCCTTAAAATTTACGGACAACTATTTAATATTTTATATGATTTATTGGATTGTGGTATAAAAGATCAATGACTCGAGCAACACTTAGAGAATATTCTACGCTTAATTGTTTATGCTTAAGTTGTTCCTGGAAATGTTGAGAGGTAACAATATTGTAATTTGGACAACATAACTTCAACTTGGAACAATATCCGACAACATAAATTTCCAATAATAATCCATTAACTATTTTCAGATAAAAATTTTTGTTTTAAATTTAATAAACCTGGAAAATTATTTAATTCAAAACAAATTTTCTTCTAATTTACTTTAATAAAAATAAATTTTAATATTCAATAACCTTTACTTTTTTCAGTACCAGTCAAAGAAATTTTTATCAGTCATAGAACATGAAAGACATTCAATTGTCCTAAAGATCAATAATATCTTCAAATTCAATATTATTTCAAAGATTTTTTTTTCAAGAAAATTTCAAAATGTTTTTTTTCTTTTAAGAAATTAAAGATATTCCTTGAAAAGGACTTATACATGCTTACATAAATACAAAAATAAAGTCCTTATTTATAATTAAAATTAATTTTTAGGGGAGATGTAATTATAATCAAAGTTGAGAACGTTTAAGCCCAATGAGAAATACCAAGGAAAAAAAATTGTGAGCATTCAGATAATAATTTGCTAAAAATTTTTTAGCTTTAAAGGTCAGATTTGGTTGATATTAAAGCAAATTTTTGTGGTTTAAATTGAAAAATTAAAGACTAGAAAAGTTTAAAATTAATTTGGCCAAATTTTAGTAAATAAAATTATATTTAAACCAAAACAATATGTGCAACATTATTTTTCAATTGTAATGTAATTGAAGCCATAGAATATTAAAGAAATTTTGAAAAATTTGGCTTAATTTTTTATATAATAAAATAGTCATATCAAATGGGAGACAATGTTAATAAAATAGTGATAAAAGAATTACAATATACAGGGTGTTTCCCGTAAGATGGATAATAATTTCAAAAATGATACTTTGATCTATTTATAGCCCGATTGTTCCCGATGGTAACTTTACATTGCGTGGTTCCGAATTTATATCCGTTTATTTTTATATGAAGGAAAAATCTGGTACATTTTTTTTCAACAGGCTGTAGCTCAAAAACATGTATGTCTGCATCTCCCACCAGTCACACAATTTTTTGCTGGAAATTGACCAAAACATGCGAAACACATCTGTATATAAAGAATTGATTTTCATAGTTGTTCATAACGTCAATAACTTAGCAACTATAAAATTTCTAAATTAAATTCCTGAATTCAGAATTTCTTTCCTTGTGTATCCTAATAAAATTCCAATAAAATTTCCATATAAGTAATGTCTTAATATACAATATAGATTATAATACTATATAGATACGATAAATAATATTGGTGAGAAAATTATAAGATCATTGACCTAATAATAATTGAAAGTCAATTATTATTACTTTTTCTACGGTCTCTGCAATTTACTCTAAAATTTCTTTGATTTTTTCTCTATAAAACTTGTAAAATTTTTCAAAATTTTTGCCAAATTTTCTAAGTTTACCAAGCAAAACCCGCAATAAATAATTAAAAATGATTTGCTAATGCTTTAAATAAATTAATACAATTCAAAATATTACATAAATATAATACAATGGTGCTATGATTTAAATCCATATTACTTTAGGGTACTTTGATTTTGAATATTAAAAAATTTTTTTTTATAATTCTTCAGAATAATTTTTTAGAAATTAATAAGTCGAATTACGTATTTTAAAATTATTAATAAAAATTTTTTCATTTATTCAGTTATTATCAGAAATGAGAAATTCAGTAATCATCAGAATTACTAATTTTCCATTTGATTCATATACTTAACCTAATCAATGTAAATTTCTGGATTCTATATATTTCGGTTTTCTTTACATGACTTACTCGTAATAAAATAATGACGTCGACATTTTTTTAATTTAATAAATGTTCAAATTGAATTCAAAGAAACATAGGTATACCGCGGGAAAAATTAAAAATAAAATCAAAACAGAATAAAATTCAAATGAAAAAATCAAATTGAAGAAAAATTTTACAATAGTTAATTAGGTGTGACATTGGCTTTATTGTAAACTTAAGTTCTCTTTTCAACAAAAATTTTCAATTTTATTGTTTTTCATTTTCATCAACTTTCTTATGGTTGCATTTCTATTTTCATTGTTTTTGAGGTTTGTAATAAGCATCACACTTGATTAGACACACTTCAGATCTTTTTCAAATTTTCAAAACTTATAAAATGAAAAAACATTAGGAAAAAAGGTCATAGTTTCATTGAAATTCGCAGAAGTTAAACCACAGAGAAAATTTTTGATTTCTTTTTTCCCCTCTTGTATTACGGCGTTATCAAAATGAAGGTGAATTTATAGTTATTAAATTAAAGTGATTTTAAATTGAAATTTTTGCCTTTAATTTGAAAAAAAAAAAATCCATTTTATTAAAAAAAGTTTTAAATTTGTGAAAATGGGATTAAATATTTAATTTCAAAAAATCTAATAAAATTTTAATTGTATATTATTTATTATGCTAAAAGTGTAGTTGCTAGATAATGGGAACTAAATATAATTAGTGAATAAACTCAAATCTAAATAAATATTTTTAGATAATTTCTAAATATTTTTAAAAGAGGATTAAATTAAGGTTCCAACTAAAAGATGTGCACTTTAACAAGCTTGCCTCTCAATTAATAATGTACAAATATTTTTGATATGTACTGTACTATATAACAATTTCTTAAATTATGGATTTTCCAACAAATATCACAATTTCATTAAAGAAATAAGCCAGAGTTGATAACTAAATTAATTAATATAAAAATATAATTTGTAACTCTCATAATATTTAAAATAATTTTCTGTTTATAAAATTGTGGAAATCTTCTAAATCTTTAGCTCCAGGCTTTCATATTATTTATGGACTAATTTTCCACCAATTTCATTTAATTCTTAGTGAATTAGAACACATTTTGCGAAAAGTCATAAATAAAAAGATGCAATAAATAAAAATTAAATTATCAAGTTGAAGTAGTTTGTAATGAAATTTTTTACTACTCTTTTGTGAATAAAGAGCTTGGTAAGAGTGTCCTTTTTTACTTCTTTTTATCACGTTTGGAATTGAATTTTCAATTCCTTCTAATTGATTTGATTGAGAGTAAACAATAAATTGAGAGCAAGTATTGCGTTTGCTAGTCTTGTTTCCTCATGCTTTCTTCTCAGCAGATAGTATTAAACCATAACATTGGGGTTTGCATTTTACTATTCACTAGAATTTCTCTTAATAACAATAATTAAGAGATGTTATAATAGAGTGGAAAGAAGAGTGGAAGTTCGTAAAGAACTTTCTGTATATTATCCATGTGAAGTTGTTTATGTAGATATTTATAAGAAAATCCCTTGTTCAATTAAATTTAACTAAAAAAAAACTTTTTGTGTTTTCTAGATTGCAATAATTTTGTTAATGTCATTTTGCGCTTCAATTCCGAAACTAAAGGCACAAAGTGATATTGAAAGTGACATTGATTTTGAACTTTATAAGCATTTAGATATTACGCCGCACCATACATCGTTTGATCACGATGTAGATTTTGATGATGAGCATTCAACTTTCGATTCAACTTATGATGGTGGTGGATCAGAAAATAATGAAAATGATGAAAATGATTCAACAGATCATAATGGAAAAAAACAAAATGCAAATTATAAAAATGACAATGATGAAAACGATGAGGAAAATGAACGAACTGAAAATGATGAAGGTGATAATGAAAATGATGATGATGGTGAAGACAAAAATGAACAAAATGATGATGGTGATGATAAAAATGAACAAAATGATGATGGTGATGATGATGACGATGATGATGAAGAAACTACTGATGAAACTCAAAATGAAAATGTAACAGTGAAAACTATTGATCCAAAAGGGACCGAAACAGTTGACCCAGAATCATTTCACTATGTTTCTCCAACAGACGTTTCACATCGTTTAGCAAGAGAAAAACGTAGTAAGAAAACTGATAAAGAGAATACTGATAGTGATTATGACTTTGCAAAATCATATCGTGATTTTGTACGAGAACATTTTGGTATTGAAGAAGCAAATGCATTATCAGATGACAATAAAAAACAAAAGTCCAAAAAGCAACACGATAATAATGAACAAAACGATGACAATGGTGAAGTTGAAGAAGATGAAGATTATGAGGAAGAAGCTGAAGATGGCGAAACGGAAAATGATGCCCCTAAAAATAAAAGTTCTGCAGGTAACCCACATGCAAATGAATATTATGATGAAGATGATGATGACAATGAAGATGATAATAATGAGGAGCAATCTGATGATGATCCAGACAGTGGCAGTTATGAAGATGAAGATTATAAAAATGTAAAAAAACTATCACAGGAAACTGATGAAAATCCAGAATTCTGCAAAACAGTGTATAAAGATAATCAGGAATGTCAAGTTTGTAAGAATCCTAAAACTCATGATAAATCTGAAACATGTTCATATTCTTCATCTCCAACTCCTAAACGCTATGCATATAAAAAAGAAAAGAATTATCATAGCAATGACGACCCTGACAATAGTGATGAAGAAACTGATACGGTAAAACCAAAGAAGAAAAAAGCCAAAAAGAATAATAAACCCAAAAAATCAAATAGGTAACTTCAATTTTTAATTTTATTTTAGAAAAATCTTTTCTAAACTACTTGTTTTAATTTTTTTTAGTAAATACAATTCTGATCCTGTTAATGATGATGATTTCTCAACACATTCAAGCAAAAAGAAACCATCCAAAACAAAACAAAAATCTAAAAAACCTAAAAACAAAAGTAAAAATTCAAAATCAAATAATGAAAACCATTCATTAACTAGTGGTTTTCAACCATCCTATCCATATTATCACGGATATCAAGATAGACGTACAACAACACCTTTACGAAATTATCAATTTGATGAAAATAATGATGATTTGTCGTTTAGAGCAAGTGAATCATTTCCAGTGACAGCATCAAGTGAAACTTACGATAAAGATATTGATATATTCAAGAGTCGTGATTGGTCACAATGCACTAGGAAAATAAATAAAGAAGGATTGACATGCTATTACTGTAAGGATTCACATGGTGCTACACAAGAAGAATGTATGTATATAGCAGGAAACGATGAGAATAATCCCTTGAAGCCAAAATCTAATAAAAACAAAAAGCGAAACAGTGATGGAAAATCAAAAAAAAAGAAAAATAAGAAAACTAATGCAACCATTTCCAAGTCTATTTTGACAACCACGACTACAACAACTACAACACCAACAACTATAATACCACAGTTACAGTTTTATGATTCAGTTAATACACAAAATGTCAAAGACAGAAACATATTAAATACAAATGTAAATATTATTCCGACAGCAATATCATCTGTGTCATGGCAAACAAATCATAATCAGCAGCGACCACGTATTCTAAATCGAAGTCAAAACTTTAATAATATTCCAATTCCAATGCTACATCAGAATATTAATACAAATTCATTAAGTAAAACTGTACCATACGACAGCTCTGGATTTATAAATTTAAATAATAATCTACCAATTTATATAACAACTGCAAAGCCAGTAGAAAGTCCAGTTAAAACACTAGAATATACTGAGCCAAGAAATCGTGAAACTTTAAAACGAATGATTAAATTAAAAATATCGAGTGATGATGATTCTGGTACTCCTTCAAAAACATCGGGTCAAGATAATGATGCAACTGTTTTTTATTCAAAAGTGTTACGTAAATTTTAAGAATAAAATTAATTAAAAATTTAAGACTTATTTTAAAAAAAAAAAAAGTATTTTTAAAATTTTTTAAATTCCCAGAGCATCTGCATTTCAATTACTTTAGTTGCACATAGTTTGCTTAGTTGCCATAATATTAAATTATTATTTTAAAGCGAATCTTTCTTCCCGTACTCATTCAATTAGTTCATCTTTAAATTAAAGCCCGAACAGTACATACACTTATTTTTTCCTAAACTTTAGTCACAAAGAATGTAGTACTAGCGTATAATGTGCTTTGAATGTAAGAAAAATCAATGAGTCAACGAGAATTTCAGCCAGTCTCCCACACACATGAGTTGTTTTTATAGTGCATTAATTACTACTCAATATTTTTTATTAAAAGTTGATTTAAAATTATATAAATTATAAACGTAAAATCAACTGTAATACCGTAGATCCAAAATTGGGCCAAAAAACGAATTGCTAATACAAATAAAAACGAGAAAAAAAATAGAGTTGACCTTGTCAACTCTGTGATACCCGTACGAATTTGTTATCCTATGTGCGAATAACTAATGTGCCATAACTAACTATCTGGCAGACTATGACTTTAAGTTGCCGTATTACCATATTAATTTAAGTACTATGTGTTATTCAAAATACTGGTTGTGCCAAACTACTATTGATGTTGTATGGCAGCTACCAGAAAGAGCCAAGAAATTTTAGCGAATTTTATCAAGCACATCGGCCCTACTATTATATTCACTTGTGTGAAATCTCAATATCACAGGTTTTATAGTTTTTGAGATATAGTCAAATAACTTTTGAAGTTGGATGGCAGGTACCAGAAATAGCCAAGTAATTTCAACGACTTTTATGAGACACATTGGCCCTACTAATATATTCGTTTGTGTGAAATTTCAATACCATAGCTTTAATAGTTTCTGAAATATAGTCAAATAACTTTTGAAGTTGTATGGCAGGTACCAGAAGGAGCCAAGTTATTTCAACGACTTTTATATGGCATATTGGCCCTACTAATATATTCGTTTGTGTGAAATTTCAATACCATAGCTTTTATAGTTTCTGAGATATAGCCAAATAAATTTTAAAGTTGTATGGCAGCTACCGGAACCGGTACCCCGATCATATCCAATTTAAATAGGGTTCTGGCACTTACTACAATAAATCATTTGTGAAAATTTGGTGAACTTAGCTCAATTAGTTTTTGAGTTATCGTTCGGACAGACGGACGGACGGACGGACGGACGGACAGACAAAGCTAAATCAACTCAGAATTTGACGCTGATCAAAAACATACACTTGAGTCTATATCTAACACCGTTATTTCTTAGCGTTACAAACGGTAAGGCAAATTTAGTATACCCTTCGAACATACGTTCGTACGGGTATAAAAATTTGAATTTATGACATGAATTTCAGTATAAGAATTCATAAGTATAAAAAAGTCATAAGCATAATTTGAAAATAATGACATCACGATAATCATAAGGTTTCTCCGACTTCCTTAACATTATCCTATCTATTGCCTATCTTTTATTTTATTGCCGACATCCAATAAATTAGTCAGGTAATGAAAATGTTGATAATTCTTTAAAAATTCTAGAAAAAAAAAATTTATTCTCTTTATCTCTTACATCCTTTATCAAAATATTTACTTTAAAAAGACCTTTGGCATTAAAATTATGACCAACTTTTTATCCAATAGACATCATACATAATATTTATACACAAGTTTCATATTTTATTTTGTATGTGGCCATAAGTTTTTTCTGCATGATTTCGAAAAAAAAAACTTTGTTTTATTTTAAGGCGTTGAAAAATAACATGTTTTCTTTTTTGCTTTTTCTTTTTGTTTTATTTTCTTTATTCTTATTGTGCCCTTAAGTTTTCTTTAGTCATGTATTTTATTTACTGCTAAGGAAAATAATGTACTGGGAATAAACTTCGAATATTGATAGAAATTAAGGTTGAGGTCAGCAAAAAGCAAGTCACAAGACAAGAAAAAATAATAAAGTGGGTAAAACAAAACTGAAAAAAAAATGTAACAAAATAAATGAGAAAAAAAGATAGAAAACCCAAAAACAAAAAAAAATAGTAGATTTTTATCGATTACAAAACAGAATTCGCCCTTCTTTCTAAAAGCAAAAATCAAATATAACCACATAACCCAACTAAATAATATCAAACCAATAACGATAATATTTAATAATAATAAAATAACAAAGATATCTTAAATGTAAAGAATAGAATTAGACAACCCTACCAATCTGCCCTGTCATCAATGTGTTTATCGTAATCAATAAGGCTGCCAATTTTTATAGAAAAAAAAATTGTGTTGCACTTCTGTGATTTCATGACTGTGACTAGAAAATATTATATTATAGCAGTCTAATACGAACCGATTAAATATATTAGTGTTATTGAACACTGTTCATATGAACCTCATCTATTCATGCTTTTAAATTCATATTTCATATGTTGGCTCTTTAAAACGTACATTTCAAATGTAAAAATTTGTAAAATTTTTGAAACTTAAAATTGGAATCGTTGTTATCAACTTGCTTCAATCCATCATTTTAAGTGGATATTTTGAAATCTTATACATTTTTCGAAATTTTAAGGACTTTGCTAATAATGCCGAAGAAAATTGCAAAATACGTTACAACTTTTCACAGTTGCTTTAAAAACGGAAAACCTTAATAGGCAAATTCTCAAAAAATTTTCTTTATCGTTAAAAAATTCTAAATTAAATTTATGAAGCAGAACTCACTACTAACATAATATTTGTAAACACTTTTAAAGAGTAAAATCTATTTGTAGATAACGCTCGCTTTATCTCTTCTGTATTTTTATGAGCTTGCATAGCAGCAGAGTTAGAACAAATCGAATGTATAACAAAAATAATGAAAGTATTTTAATTTTTGCCATCATTATTTGCGAATTGTATAATATTTGGTATTAGGTGAAGAATCTGGAAAAATTTTCATAGTTTCCTATCTATTATATCGTTTGGTAACCCTTGATTATAAGGATATATTATTTATACAATCGCATACATTTCAACTCTTACACATGGTATATTATTTTTAATCTTAGCAATAAATGATCATAAATTTTTACCACAATTTATTTTTTGTTTTGTATAAAAAAACACGACTAAAATAACTAACATCATACATATATTCATATATGACTGGGATTGAATAAATACGAAAAAAAAAAATTCTATGAGATTTTTCCATACTGTTTTCTCATAATTTGCTTTATATTTTACTATTATAATGTTATAACTGAATAATATGGATATCTTGTATTTATAAGTTAAGCAATAGAATAAAACTTTACTTGATATTATTTATTATTGTCCAGTATATATGTACATAGAAAGGATTACAAATACATGCAATATAACAATATAATGTACAAATACATCTTACATTTTATGTTGCTTAAACCCAGGCGCGGTCCTGATGTATTCGTCGCCCTAAGCGGTTCCTAAAAAGTGCGCCCCCCCCCCCCCTTCAACCGTTTCAACTATTTTACTAATGTGAAAAAAAATTTAATAGCCATTCCACATTGTGCATCATAAAGCACTTTCTTGTAACCTTATTATGCTGAATTATAGAATTAAAGTCTGGAACTAAACTTTCAATTTTTTGTTTTATAAATTCAAAAACAAGGTAATTTATTTAACTGTACGTTTTTTTATGAAGTTATGGTCAGATTTATATCAATCATTTAAACTTGATTTTTTGATTTTAACAACCAAAAAATTTACTTTTTGACGTACTAGTGAAACTTATTGTAAAAGGTTCTATGAAAATTATATCAAATGAACTTTTTCAAAGCTTATTTGAATATGAAAAAAAGTAAAAATTTATTTTTATTTTTATTCGTAATTTTAAATTTACGAATAAAATTTAGCTTTTTATTTCACAAATCGCCTGAGAAATGAAGCAGCGTATAAAAAAAGTTTCGACTTGCATTCAAAAATTTAAGGAAAATCAAAGTTTCGTTCTTAAATTTATGACTTAAAAACTAAGCTTTTTATGAACATTGGTACAAGCTTTTATACTGTTCATTAAATTTTCAGAATGTCGTTTTGCTTAACTGTTTTAATTTTGGAGATAAATGTGTGAAGCAAATTATGCGCCATTTCATTTTACTCTTATTTCTTGGATGACTTACACTACATCAATTCAGCATAAAAATTCTTAACATTCACTTGATTATTAAACAACATTTTTTCAATTCAATATAAGTAGTAGATTTTATCAATTAAAATTTAATTCTGTGATTGATAACAGTTTTTTCAAAAACGAAAGCAGAACATAGTAGTAGAAATTCATAACGATCATGTAATTTTAAAATTCATTCAAAATGTTGTTGTTAAACAAAAACAAAATATTGGTATACACAATCTCAATATCAAGCTATGCTTTCCATCATTTAAGAATATTGCTCTCATTCTCTTTTTCTAATTTCTTTCTATTCTCATTCTTAATTTGTGTTTTTTTTTGTTTTGTTCTTGTTGTTTACTAATGCAATAGTATACAGAAAAAGTAATACATTACAATAATGTGTTTGTTTGTTTGGTGAGTGGGCGCCAACTAAGCAAAAATAAAATTTTGCATGTATGAAACAATTTAAATATAATGTGTACGAACGAGTGTAGCCAGGGAGATCACTAAGCATAATAAAAACCTTGCTTTGTGATATAATTATATGTGTACGAGCGAGTGTTGATAGGGAGCAATCTCAGCAAAATAAAAATTTTGCTTTATGAGATAATTATATGTGTACGCATGAATGTTGATCTTATACAAGTTAACACCCTATAGTTTCTTTCTCAACGATTAGCTACACGCGCCGTCCAATTTTAGCTAATTCAACATTTATTTCATTTTATTTCTCACATTCTTTATTGCAACATTTTTTATGCTGAAATTAACTCAACTAACTGAAAACGCATCATCAGCATATTTCAACATCATGAATGAAGCGCGTGTTATGCAGGTAGAATAAAAACGCTTTTTATAAAATTGTATTTTATTAAATTATTACTATTCTGAACTTAGAATAAAAAACACGTAAAAATAAAATAAAGAGTTTTTTATTAAAAATTTTATTAAAATAAAATAACGGTTTTTTTATTAAGATTGTTTTTTTTTGAATAAAACTTTCTAACTCCAAAGGGTAGGAGTTATCTGGCGCCCGAGCAGGGACCACCCAAGTTATGAGAGTTGTGAATGAATAGCACTGAAAAAAATAAAAGATAAAAAAATATAGAAAAACCTGGAAAAAAATAATACAAAAACAGAAGTAATAAAAAGTAAAAACTTGTGAAGTATTGGAACAAAAAATAAAAGAAAAAAAAAAAAAGATAATAAAAACTTGTGAAGTATTGAAATAAATAAAGGAAACTTTAAGTTCAAAAAAATTTTTTTTTTAGAGATAAATTTTAAGAGTTCAAAAAATAAAATTAACAAAATCTTGAGATAAATTAAAGATAATAAAACATTTTTTTTTGATTAAATTAAATTTAAGATTCAATAAACAGTAAATACAATTAATTTCCGGCAGTGCTAGAAGAATTCCCCTCTACATAACGCGCAGCAAGTAGGCGAAAAGCCGAATTTGCTACAACAATAGAGTGGGAAAAGGTGCCCCGGAGTAATCTAAAAATAGATAAAACGGAGTTGCTGCACGGAGCAGGCAAAAAATACTGTGAAAGACTACCAATACTTAAAGCTCGCTTGAGTCTGGGTGAGCGGTATTTAGAGCCTGACTCTACAAAGTGTCAGTTAACAGCGGCCCACTCGTTGTAGCAAAAGACTGCAGGTGGAACCTAATCAGATGGCAATCCAACTGGTTTTCATGGTGTAAGTTAACAATTTTCCTTTTTATTATACAAGTGTTGCTTACCTGAAAAGAGAAAAAGAAATCATAAGTCAAATAAAAATTAAACAGTCTATAAAAAATAAAAAAAAAAAAATAAATAATAAAAAAATAATAAATAAATACAGAGTTAACGTCAACAAGTATCCTTAAATAAAAGGAGAAAAGGAGACCTGTATTTCGAAAAATTTTCACTTAAATATCATACAAGCTAAATAAATAATTACAAAGAAACTTGTTATTGCAAACATAAAGAAAGTTAAAGAAAATAAAAGTACAAAGATTTTGAATAAAAATTATTGATATAAAATTATAAGGATCCTACTCTCGTAAACAAGTATCCCCATCTGTAGGGAGAAAAGAGAGAGTTTTTTTTACAAATTACTGCAATTATATAAAAATAAAAGATCTTAAGACAAATCAATTGCGCTGATCAGCTGTAGAAATTAAAATATAGTAGAAATAACCGTAGAAAATTACAACAAAAAAAAAAAAAAAATAGAAAATTTAATGCTTAACCTAATTCAAAGTAATAATAGTGCTCATTAATCTTTAAACATACGCTCTAGCTTATTAACTGTAGAATAGAAATTATAGTGCCTAGTTTAATATTAGTGCTTATGAACTTTTAAACTCTATAAATAAAAATTATATTAAAATTGCTCTACTAACAATTTAATTCACTAATTTTACTAAATTAACTAACCTAAAAATCAACTACTAATAGTACTAATGAAACGCAAATTAAATTTTTAAAAACAAAAAAAGAAGGATTAAATATTTGATAATTTATATCCCTTACACAATATCCACAAAAATATTGAAGAAATCTTCTGTATTCTTGTCTTAAAATAATAATAAAGAATTAAAGCATTAAATATTAAATAGATTATAATAATTGTTACAATTTTTGTGAAAAAGGAAAAATTATAATAAAGGTTAAATAATTTTAAATTAGATTTCCTTTTAATTAAATGGTAATTAAGATTTAAACAAAAAATTAAAGATAAAAAATAAATAAATCGATTTTTTTTCCTTCCCAAAAATTTTTCTGTGTAATTCATTTGAAATTTCCAATTTTTCTCAGCGTTTTAATCATTAAATAGTAATAGCATTTAATATTTATGTAAATAAAAAAAAAAATAATAATAAAAATATAACTAAAACAAAAACTGTATAAAGAATAAAAGATTAAAACAAACATAAAGATTCCGATGCTTAGTAAAAATTAAAACTTTCCGATTCCGATTAAATTTAGTAAAAATTAAAAATCAAATTAAACAACTAGAAATAGAAAACTGGAGATTTCAAAATAATAATAAAATTTTTATCATTGAAACCACAAATCATCCTTATTATTTTAGGAAATAATTTTTTGAAAAAAATATTACTCAAGAAAATAAAATTTCAATAAATAAATTTCTAATTTCACAGGATAATAATTTTTATTGTTTTACTATCAAAGAAAATAAAATTTTAATAAATAAATTTCTAATTTCACAGGATTATCATTTTTATTACTTACTATCAAAATTAAACGAAATAAGCAAGTTTTGAATAAACAATTAAGTTATTAAAATTAAATACGGAAAATTTTCCTTACCATCTTAACTGACTTAAATTGAACTTAATTCGTGTTTACAAATTTTTAATTAATTCTCATCCCTAAAAATGGGTGCTCCACCCTCTGTAAGATTTTCTAGATCTCCTTGCAGAATTTCAACCCCAGAGATCCCCGAGATGGACGCCGAAGAGGCAAGTCCAATCTCAAAGGACGACTTATTTGAAAATAGTGAGTCTCTTCGAAATGCAATTAGGGAAATGATCCAATATGAGACCAGAAAGTTAATGGACAGGGTTGGGACGATCAATGGGGACGACGAATATGACGAGGGCGACGACAATGATGACATTTGTCAAACGAACGGAGACTTGGAAGGTATGAACCGAATACCCGACATAGTCAAGGGAATAAGGGAATTTTCAGGTGAACCTGGTGAATATGGCTCTTGGAGAAAGAGCGTCGAAAGAGTACTTGGAATTTACGACAATTTAGGAGGCACCTCTAAGTATCTTGGAATCCTCCATACCATTCGTAGTAAGATAACAGGAAGCGCTGATATGGCCTTAGAGTCATATAATACACCCCTAAATTGGAGTAGAATGGTCAAGTGTTTAAACATGCATTACGCTGACCAAAGAGACGTGGATACTTTAGAAGATGAATTGGGAAGAAAAAAACAAAGGGGGGCGAGAATTGAAGACTTTTACAAAGAAATCTATCAACATCTCTCTCTTATGATAGAAAAGTTATCCTCCATGCCTTTAACTACAGATGCGCGATCAGCAATAACTAAAATGTATAGAAACAAGGCACTGAACACCTTTATTCGTGGTTTGGATGGGGATTTGCCAAGGCTTCTGAGCATGCGAGAGCCACAAGATTTACCACGGGCCTTGCATCTCTGTCTGAAGATTCACAACGTCAATAATGGCTCAGGGCAAACAAGTAATAATCAAATACAATCAAATCCTCCTAAGCGAAACCACCTGCCCCCAAACAAATCTAGATTCAATCCGAACGCGCGGAACCAGTCATACCAACACAATAATAATTATTCGAGCCGGTGGAGAAATAGCTCATATAGAAACCAACATAATGGCATGAGACCATCTAACACATTTACTACAACTCTGCCAAAGATAGAACCACCGAGCTCACATCAATCGAATCAATCTCGGTATAAATATCAAAATCAAAATAGGCCTAACAACCCCTTCAAAAGGAATGCTTCCTATCAAAATAATCGGAATAATAAAATCCAAAAGATAAACCAAACTGAAACCAAAAATCCACAGGCCAGTCCGAAATGCACTTGTTCGTGCAAAGACAAAGACAGCGACAATTTTTTAGACTAGGGGTTTCCTCGATCCCATACATCGAACATCCATTGCGGAACGGGGAAACTGTTAAATTCCTAATCGACACTGGGTCCAACAAAAATTACATCCATCCTCGCTTTGTACGAAATCCAATTCCCAATGAAAATCCCTTCATTGCCAAATCGGTGGGGGGAAACATTAAAATTACCCACTACGCGTTAATAGATCTATTCGATGGAAAAACCCGGAAATTAAGGTTTTTCATATTGCCAAAAATGCTATCTTTTGATGGACTGATCGGAAACGATAGTCTTCGAGAGTTAGGTGCAATAATTCACACCCAGCAAAATTTTCTAACCCTATCAAATAATATTAAAATCCCACTTAAACAACACGTTTCCGATTCCGTTAACAACATCGTAATAAGAAATGACCACCTAAGTAATGGACAAAAATTAAGACTAAACAACATAATCGAAAAACACAGAAACTTATTTGCGGACCCGAACGAAAAATTGACCTATACAACGAGGGTAGTAGCAGAAATTAGGACCACGACACCTGAACCAATTTACTCGAAGTCATATCCATACCCTATGGCTTTAAAATCAGAAATTGACAAACAAATCGACCAACTTCTAAAAGACGGAATAATTGGGCCGTCCAGATCGCCTTACAATTCACCGGTCTGGATAGTGCCAAAAAAAGAAGACGCTTCGGGGGAGAAAAAATACCGAATGGTAATGGACTATCGTAAAATAAACAAGATTACGATAGCCGACAGATACCCAGTACCTGAAATAAATGAGGTACTGGCCAACCTGGGGCAGAACAAATTATTTTCGGTTGTTGACTTGAAGAGTGGCTTCCATCAAATTCCACTAAAGGAAGATGATATTGAGAAGACCGCTTTTTCGGTCAATAATGGCAAGTACGAGTTTTGTAGGTTGCCGTTCGGTCTTAAAAATGCCCCGTCAATATTTCAACGGACTTTAGATGACATATTACGTCAACATATAGGGAAAAGGTGCTATGTCTATATAGATGACATAATTATATTCGGAAAAACGGAAGAGGAACACTTCGAGAATTTGTCGAAAATCTTCCAAACATTAGAGGAAAGTAATATGAAAATTCAACTCGATAAGAGTGAATTTATAAAAAATGAAATTGAATTTTTGGGGTTCTTAGTTAGTTCCGATGGAATAAAGACGAACCCAAAAAAGGTTCAGGCTATATGTGACCTGCCTGTCCCTAAAACATTGAAGGATCTTAGATCCTTTCTCGGTATGTCAGGATATTATAGGCGATTCATTTGCGACTATGCAAAAATAGCGAAGCCACTGACATCCCTTTTAAGAGGGGAAGGAGGACGTGTGTCCAAAACCGCTTCTAAAAAAACCCCAATTTTTCTTGACGAAAATTCATTAAGGTCGTTTCATCTCTTAAAAGATGCTCTAATTTCAAAGGAAGTCCTCCTAGTGCACCCCAATTTTGATAAGGTTTTCGAATTAACTACCGATGCATCCAACTATGCCATCGGCGCGGTGTTATCACAAGATAACAAACCTATCACATTCCTGTCACGCACTCTAACAAAGACAGAAGAAAACTACGCGACCAATGAAAAAGAACTACTAGCCATCGTATGGGCTTTAACTTCATTACGAAATTTCCTGTACGGATCAAAAAAAGTAGTGATATTTACCGACCATCAGCCTCTTACTTATGCACTTAGCAATAAGAACAGCAATAGTAAGATGAAAAGATGGAAGGCTATCATAGAGGAATACAACTATGAATTAAAATATAAACCGGGTGCAAGTAATATAGTGGCAGACACCCTGTCCAGACTTGTACCGAACGCCACCATTAACGCCATGACTATGACGCAACATAGCCATGGAAGTTCAACGCATAGTTGCATTCCGATTATTGAAGCCCCACTGAATGGGTTTCGTAATCAAATAATTTTTAAACATAATGATGATGAAGGTCACGATATTACTCATCCTTTTCCGAACTATAATAGACATATCATAAGACGTAAATCCTTTTTACCAAGCGACATAACACGTATTTTAAAAAACTGTTTAGATCCAACTCACCTTAACGGTATAGCAGCCGATGAAAGTATAATGGAAATAATACAATCAGCTTTATCGGACCATTTTAGTTCATATAAAATCAGATTTACTCGAACAATACTTGAAGATGTGACTGACGAAACTCAACAACAGGAAATAGTGGCCGCCACACACAGGCGTGCACATC